AATGCGCCATTTCCAATTAATTTTTTATCAGAAAATTCATTAAAATCAAAAAATTTTATTTGTTCTTCTGATTTAACGTATTCAAACCAATCAATTGTTGATGACATTTTTTATGTGAGAAACGTTGGTTAAATATTATTTGTGGCGTTTAAATATATATTCATTCGGATTGGTACTTATGTAGGAGACAAAATGCATTATTATTACTATAATAAGTTTCGCGTGTAAATCACATGATGGCGAAATCACCTGGACGAGGATCACCTGAATCGTGTGATCTTGTGAAATCGCCTCCAATCTCTAAATTTTATCTGTATCTGATTATGTGATGATTTGGCGGGACGTTTGAAATCATGCTGAGAAAAATGCATAAAAGAATAATCTTCTTAACTAAAAGTAATATGCTTAATAAATAAAATACAATTGCACTTACCTTTACTTGTTACTTATTTTTCCATTGATCAACTTCAAAGCTTGTCTGCCGACAAGTAATGGAGGAATTCCACTATGAACAAATTCATACTACGAATTTTCTATTGAATTGTTGGCAGAAATTAAGTCCAATATTTGCTTTTTAAACCGTTTTTGGTTATCTGTAAACATATTCAAATCATTGTTTCCAGGTCGCGTCAATAAGTCCCGTCAATTAGTCTTTTGTTGTTGGTTATCAGAAACCTCTGCGAAATCTATTTTATTATCTCCGTTTTCATTGCTTAAGGTCGGTTTGCGTACAAGTCATCGCAGCAAACTTTTAGAATCCCCATTAAATGTAAATTATTAAATCTAACGCGCCTAATTATAGTCACGCCATTTTAAATTAAGGCGTAACCATAAATGCGTTGAAATGATATATATAATTATGTTATATATACTGATTATGGGGTGTGGGTATGAAAGTTTTCTGTGCTAAGGAACGACATTATTAAAAGAAATTACTTTGATAGCTGGTAAAGATATATCAAACACAACACAAATCAAGATACCGATACAATATTCAAAGGATATCATTCCGAATATTAATTGGAAATATTCTAGCCAACTCAATATTACATGTAATAACGAAATTAAAAAACATGTAATAAATATGTTAAATAAAAATTCTACACAAAAATGCGAGAAATATGATACATTCGTTAGTAACCCCCAAACTATGACTTGAACCACAATTTGAACAAATTAAAATGCGGCTTTGCTCTTGTGGCGGAGCGCTACGGTCTAATAATCATAAAGTCAACCGGTTCTGGTTGGTTTAAACCTCGATTTCACAAGTCTATCCTAATTGATTTTCATTTTCTTTGTTTATCTGAACTACTTGACATAATATTTATTAGCTTGATAGGACTAGATCATACAAACATTGAAAAATACAAACCTTCCTGATTCACATTCGGTAAAAGTTTGCTCGTACAAACGGCCAAGGGATGCGTCGTGTAACTTTCTTTGGATCATAATTGGATGCGTTTGCAATTCTAAACTTCTCGGCGGCGTCTATTTGATTTCTATTTCTGTAGTTTTGTCTCGATACCATTTTTCAACGATGTCGCACATCTCTTTGGAAGTATGGTCTTTGTGAAAGATTTTGATGCCAACAACGTACAATCAAGTCGCGGTAAAAGTCAGGTAATCCTTCCGGTAATTAAGGTCGCAATCCATCGCATATGGCTAAGATCTCGTTTGAGAAAAAAAGCAAGAAGTTAGAAAACCTTTTTCATTTTTAATTTGTTTTTTACGCGCGTTATATGTAAAAATATATTTTTAATCATATTCTAAATATGGACATTCACCTTACAATCGACTTGAGCCAGCTAACTGAAGCAAGGAAATTCCAATTTAGCCGATAGTACAGTAGGTCACATAAGAAACGCAACACGAAAGTCTTACGAAGAAAATTCTAGTGCCTCCAACATCGAATAAATGTACTTGATTCCTATAAAGCAATAACCTAGAGAATGACTATAAAATACCTAAAATATATTAACGTTATAATTCTAAAGAAATTAAGTAATCTAGAGGAATATTTTTAATTGGTAAAATTTAACTCGAAATAATTTTGTAATGTGAGAACGAGCTACTTGTAAATTTTCAGTTAAATTTGTATCAACTCGTTTAGTTATTAGATCCCGAAGTATCAAAGTAATGCTATAAAACAATTCAATAAATTTTTTTATTTGCACTTTAATGGCATTAATTTGATACTTCGGGATCTAATAGCTAACCGAATTTGGTACCAATTTAGCGGAAAATTGGTTTTCATCAAGCAGCACGTTACAAAACTATTTGGAGTTAAAATTAAATACAGTGCCCTACGGAATATTGTGGATACTTTTAAATTTTAAATATCAAGCTAAATAAGCAAAATATTAAAGCAAAAATAAAAATTTAAATTCTTTGAAAAAGTATAGCTTTCAAACAACAAAAAGAAAAAGAAATTTCATACAGTAGTTTTTGGGAAAACTTTAATTTAAAAATCTATAATTTTTTCATCAATACAAAACACATTACTAAAGTATTAAAAACAAAAGAATGATCTCGATACCCGGAATCGCACAAAAAATACCATCATCCAATATGACTAGAGATGGGCAAATGCGCGCATATTACATCACTATGCGTACTATGCGCACTATTCGCATAGTATATGCGCATAGTATATATACGCATAATGATCTGCATGTACATTGATACACTGCAGGCAGGTTTGTCATCAAAACTAGTCCAGTCCACTGGAATACAAAGTCCAGTCCAGTCCAGTCCAATAGACTTCGCATGATTGGACTTATTAGGTTTGGCCCAATAATAATCCAATCACGTACAAGTAACTTTTATCCAATCAAAAGCAATAGATGTGACAAAAAATTTTTTTGCAAAGATAATGGCACGTCACCATCAATTAACTGCTTATATTGAAGTACTTGATCAAAATGCAAATGAGTATAACAAGTATGCAATATGCTTAGCTTGTATTGAGCTAAAAGATCGCTCTTATACTCTTGAAAAATAATTTACAAATACCAAAAAGTATTATAAAGATCATTTTAAAAAATATGACTTTTTCAAGCAAAAATATGGAAGAGATAAAGCACAAGCAATTTTAGATGAAATAATAATACAAAAATATCAAAGAAAGAGAGTTCGTAGACAAGATGGTTAGTATAATTATCTTGAATTTAATTTAAATTCAAATTATTTATTAATAATTTAAAATTAGATAAATCTACTAAATCATCTTACTAAATATCAAGTGCTAATCAAAGTCAGATTTCAGTATCAAGTGAAATATCTAGCTCAATATTAAATAATAGTTTCTACATGAAATCAACCTCTTCAGCAATTAATGGACCATTGGACAATTTTGCTTTTCATTAATTTACTGGAAATAATCTTGATCAATTTAATTATCTGCTATTAAAGGCAATAATTTCAAATAGATAGAGCTTCTGTTGGATACAAAATCCAGATGCTATTGCATTGTTTGAATTCATTAATCCTTCATGCAAACTTTCTGAATGATGAAAACTAGGTGATAACATATTATCACGTACTTCTAATCAAATGATTGCTAATATCAAATTAAAAGTACAAGAAGATTCATATAGTGTTACTCTTACAATGGATGGTTGAATAAATATTGTTAATCAATCTATCTTGGGAAGTATTTTAATTACAAGTTCAGATAAAGTTTTAGTTTGGCAAGCAACAAATATTAGTGGTGAAAGAGCACGGACTGAAGAAGTCAAAACAAAGATTAATGCTATTATAAAAACTATAATGGATGAAGCAATAAAGATATTAGCAATTGTAACAGATAGCTATTCATCATATGCTGCAACAAGATAATAATTATTTTGCTTTGAATTTTGAAATTTATTTAATTTATTTATATATTTTATTTAGAAAACAACTTCAAGTTAAAAACTATATGATTACATATTTACTATGTTTCACCTATCAGACAAATTTATGTGTTGAAGAAATATTTAAAGAATCCAATATATACAAGACTATTGCCATCAAAGCTGTTCATATCGTGATATACTTCAAAAGTAAAAGTCATGTTTATTTTGCTAGAAAACTTTGAGATATCCAAATGTAGACATATAAAAAATTACAAGCTTTGATTGTTTCTGGTAATACATGTTAGAATAGCTATTATTATTATTTTAGTAGTCTTTTGCAAACTAAGAAAGCTTTAAAGGTAATATTATTTATTAAATTATTAATTATTATTGCTTATTCTAATTCTAATTTTAATTTATCAAGACACTTGTAACATAATATGAACCTCAAATTGATATCTATGAAGAAGCAGAATCATCACAAATCAATAAAATAATCAAAACAATACATATTTGCATGGAATTAAAAGTACTCCAAGAATTCTAGAAGATAATCTGGTATTATCTAGTGATATCTGTGATCTAATTAATGATCCTGAATTTTGGTGAAATATACTTACTATTAAATGACTTCTTTTGTCATATTATGACTGCTTGAACATTTTATAACAAGATAAAGCACGTCTTTATGATATACTTCATTCTTTTGGTTACTTTTACTAATTTTTATTGGAACTTCTAGATCTGTAATTTAGCATATAATTGTGTAATCATCTAGAAAAATAATAGAAATAGTGAGAATAACCAATTATTATTTTATCATAAGTACTTCATCTTAACTACTATCTTAACAAATTTGATATAAACTTGATGTATTTGAATTGGATTGATTTAAGTGAATATTTATTATATTATTATATTGCTTGGACTGGCATTACTCCAATAAGCATTTTGCGAGAGTTTGATAATTATCGAATCAAGAAATTTCTATTTAATAACATATTATTTAATCAGTTTAATCAAGATGTATTTGAATATTGAAATTGGTACTCAGAGAGTGTAAAAGAATTGGAATTTGTGATATATCAAATAATGAGTATTTGTATAAATATTATATTAGTAAAAAGATTGTGGTCTTTAATAGACCATTTACATTCAGTTTTAAGAAATCAATTAAAGGTAAAAAGTAAATTTATTTAAAAAATGATTTGAATTTTTTCAATACAATCTAATTATACTTTATACAAAATCTACTTTTTAGTATATAAAGGTCTTGGCAATAACTTAAATAAAGGGTGTAATAAATCAAGCTCACTGAAATCACAAACTTAAATAAATTAAGCAAATGTATTATTCAAAAACTATTATGATGCTATATGAAACTAATAAAGATCTGGCTTAAAGAACTGAACTAGCAGATAATATTGATTAAGATACTGAGAGTGATGTTAAATTACAAATAGAAAGTAATAAAAGTATTGTTAGTGAGAGTGGAGATGGATTGGATAAAATGTTGAGGTTGTGAAAGTCAATGCTTGAAGATGAAAAATTAGATGATGATTGAAATGATGAAGAGATAACTGATTCATTACTCAAAATAGACTTATCTTCTAATATTCTTTCACGTTACCAATATCCCTAAAGAGATAGCCACGTAAAATAGATGCTTAGTGAATTGTTTATTGATAAGTTAGATACATCTTCATATATTAATAAATTGTAAAAATCCTATTTTCTCATGTATATATATGATTGAAATAATAATAAATTTTATTTTCTCATATATATAATATAAATCTCATTTTCTCATATATATAATTGGATAATATATACATGTGATTGAACTTACTTTACTAGACCTATTCCAATTGATCAATCAAAAACTATAGACATAGTCCAATAATAATAAACTGTGCCAATTGAACTGAACTGAATAGTCTGAACTGGAATAAATCCAGATTCCAGTTCAGTTCAGTCTAGGATTCAGCTAGAACTAATGACAACCCTGCTTGTAGTACATCCCAAAATAGATTTTACATCTGAAATAAATTATATAATAATTATTCTAAATATAAAATGGCACATTATCAGTTGTCTCATCTTGATTGGGTAATCACCATATACCCTTATCAATTATTAATGATTACCTATCTCTTCTCATACTTCTTTCTTTTTCTGCAAAATACTATTTTTCTCTTGTATAGCAAGGTCACTTATGTGATAAGTAGGACTCAGCTCTAGAAATTATTCCTAATGACTCATTAAGTAGTATTGCTTTTGTATATTCTTGCTTATTAGTTAATACATAAGTATATTCCAGATTGTCATAAGAAAGAATTAAGCTAGCAATAAATACATCTAGAGCTGAAATATTTTATGATCTGAAAAAAGTAAGTTAAGTGTATATTTTGGATGTGAATTATCAAATTATAATTATCTTATTGGTGAGTGAAGGAAGTCTGAATTAGTTTTCCATTTAAATATTGAGTTATGAGATATGAAATAATTTGAAAGTTTCTATCTCAAAATTTTACTATTTTTGATTTATAATAAGATATACTGATATGATACCATTTCCAAATATATATTATTAGCATAAAACTCAATTGGGCACCTGAGAATCAACTGAAAGTGAAACTCAAGAATATATTCAAACCTAATGGACATCAGAAGATTTTTTTTCTAGTGATCTTATTAGCAGATATATGCACAACTACATTAAATCAGATAAAAATTCACAATCCCAGACTTTAATTAATCCAAAATTTACTTTTATTAAAAAGTTTTTAGAAAGAAGGCAAAAAAAATTAATTACCCAGAGGTTATTACAAAATGGATCATTATCTATGGATAACATAAACCAGAATACTTATATAGCGAAATCCTTGTCACCTCAAACTATCCAACAAATATCAATCAATAACTCTGAAATTCTGATGTGATATATAGCTTTTTTAGAATCTGAAATTTTTAACAAGAGTCCTTCCAATCCAAGACCAATGTAGTGGAAAGAGTTTGGAATATAGGCATATTTTACAAAAGTCTCACATTTCAATAAATAATTTCATCATCACTGTTATCTTCTTTGATCAGACATAGATCACATATATCTAGAAGTTGAGAAAAAATTACAAGAAGAATATAATATTCCAGAAACATTTAGCTGATCATTAAAGAAAAAACTTGAGATTGCCAAAGAAATCACCAGAAATGTAACAATTGGTAATAATTTAGATAGTTACTATCACGTCTTTAATCCACAATACTTCAAGAATTCTTATGGTGAAATGATGATAGACTTTTTCAATCTGGCTAATCCTACAATTACAGAAGATACAAGAGTGATAATAGATCAGTATTATAATCATAATCTTAATAATAAAAAGCATCAATTAGAGAATTCAAGAAGAAATTGATAGAGCATTTTAATATCTTTATGGGTAGTAACAATGAACTATATACAACTACGACTACTATATCAGACCATCATCTGGAATATCAGAAATATGTTCATGAACTAATCAGTGATCTTCAACTACTATCTAATATGGTTAATACTTATTTTTGGGAAATATATCTGAATCTGTATGTGAAAATCGTAAAGCTTGATCTTGGTCTGAATATTTCTAAGTCTTTTGGTACTTTTCCAATAATTATGATTAATTTTAACATTATTAGTCAATTTTACCATAATTCAAAAGATCATTAAAATATACTTTGTATCATATGTTCACTAGATTTATTTGAAGGTGGATAACTGGTATTTCCAGAGTTGAAGCTTATAATTTATGTGAAATAGGGGTATATCATCACTTTTAGATCAAATATTTTGATTCATAGGAATCTTTCTATTGTTGTTGGTATTCACCATAGTATTGTATTTTTTATACACATAATAACAATCAAACAAAATAGAAAGTTTAATATCCTATTCCATAATACAGATATAAATAATGCTGAATTATCAATCAGCTTCAGAATACAAAAAAAATTTAAGTCAGACATTAGATATTCTAAATACTCTAAGTTGGGTTCACAGTCATCAAAAGTGAGGAATTCAAGATAAAACTATCTCGGTAAATATAGTTATAATATTGGTCTATATAGTTTGAGCTTAGCTTTGCTAGTTTTACTAATACTTATATTTTTATTCATTAAAGATTTTCAGCTCACAAGAAGAGGCTTATCAGCATAGTATAGAAAATAATATTTTTATAGTAAAGAGTTAGTAATAAATATGCATCTCAATGAGAATTAAATTATGATTTATTTTTTCATAGCATAGTCACTATATGACTATCTCTTAGTAATGTAATATTCATATATTACACTTAGCATAAGCTAGTCTTTGGCTAATAAATTCTGAAAATTTCGCATTTACTTTTTGCATGTATTTTGGAATTTAACATGTAATGTTGATATTGATATTGATGCTGTTATATGATCAAGAATTTCTTGACATTTTTCCAGAACCATCCAGTCTTGCAAATTTTAATCATGTAAATTTAACTTTGATACTTTATACAATAAAAAGATTTTAAATAAATATGCTTTCTATATAAAATAATATTGAACACTCAATCCAAAATCGATTTATTGAAAGAATTAAATTTGAAGCTCTTGGCTAAGATTTCTGAACTTAGAAAGAAGAATGTTAAAGTTAAAGCTAAATATGATAAGGCTATAGGTGAGATTACCAAGGTCAAGACTGAAAATATCAAAGTTAAAGCTGAGAATACAAAATTAAGGCAAGTCTTGGATGAACATAAAACCAGATTCATGAATCTAGAGCAGAGAGATAAAGAAAAGACCAACCTCATTGCTAAACTAGATGATGATATCAAGAAAATCAAACAATTGAAAGTTAATACCAGTTCTATCAATAATTCTGATAACACTCCTGAACAATGTCAATCTATTCATACAGAAATCAAGTTATTAGAAGATAAAGAGACAGATGATTTCTTGGATAGGGCATATAAAAAAAGTGTTAGTGATCAGATAAAGTAATGCAATAAAGAGAAGAAACTTCAAGAATATTCAGAGACATTTATAGCTCTCCCAGATTTTATCACTTCCTTGAATAGAAAAAATGAATAAGGGTTGATTCAAGAAATATCTTTATCCATGTCTTCATCCAAAGAAAAGATATCAGAGATATCAAATCATGTGACTAAAATTTCTGAGACTACATAGTTCTGGAAATCTGATATACTCTCACTCTATAGGACCAGTATGATAGAAATATCTCAATATTTGGCCTAATTATATGATAAAGCACTTATTGCAGAAGAGTGTATATTAGAAGCAAATCAAGAAGAAATATTTTGCTGGTGTTACTATGAAAGAAACTTCATATTTCAGGAGAAAGCCTTATGTTACAAAAATAAAATTGGTGAAAAGAAAGCAAAAGATTTAATATATGACAAAGTCATGAAGCAACTTAATATCCTTCATAAGAAAAGATCTCAAGATACAAGTTTATCACTTTCTGAAGTATCAAGAGATAGTTTACGTAAAAAAACTCAGAGAGCTGTGAAGATCTACAAATTATTTGAAAAGGTTAGAGAGGACAAAATCAAATATATTAGAATATATAATACAAATGAAATATCAAAGTTTACTAATGATGAAATCTTGAAGATTATAGATCATTTCTTGATTAAGCCTAATATAGATTTCACAGATAATCAGAATAATTCTATTAATAATTCATCTGATCATACTAATATACTGGAAATGCAAGTGAGAAAATAAAGCTTGGATTTAGCTAAGATAAGCATCTCATCCATACCTACTGAACCTACCAAATCTGAGATAAATATCTCAACCATACCTATTGTCTTATCTCAAACATCTATCTCTAACACTTCTAATGAAAAATTACTTGATGAAAAGATTATTACATTTCAAGTAGGTATATCATCTCTATCCCAGGTAAATATATCTAACAAATTCCGATCTTTAATTTCTGTCTTATCTAATGATTCAAAAGAGAAGTAAAAATATATTATCAAAATAGTATTGGAATGCTTTCCTCTATTATCTTTTAAATACAGTAATGAACATGGTAATTATTTTGATTGTTCAGCAATATGTCCAGTATGTAATATAAATTATAAAAAAGAAAATATAAGAGATAATATAAAGGATGAATGGGGTGATGAAAATTATATTAATACAAAAACTTATCATCTTAATTGTTGAAAAAATTATTAGAATTCAATCCAAATAGTAACTGTAAAAGTATAGATTACTAATTATATGACATGATCTGATGATTAATATACAGTATATATTTTTTTGCTGGATAAGCATTACATGTTATTTATCAGATATATCAAGTCATACCAGAAAATTAAATCATGTTTGCATGGTATTTGTAGTATATTTGAAATAGATCTCACATACTCAAAATAGATTTCATATACTCAAAATAGATTTCACATATCTAGAATAGATTTTTTATTCATGTAGCAATTTCAAAAGTTGATTCATATACTCAATTAATTATTATTTATATTGGATAATATATATACAATATATATATAAGTAATTTTTTATATAAATAGTAATGCCTGAACTCAAGAAATTCTACTTCCCATACTCTAATACACAAACTACACTTTCTCTGAAAGATTTATCATACTACAAAAATAATCACTCTGTGACTGTCTTTGATATTACATATACTCTGAATCCATCTCATCCAACACATACAAAATTTACTACTTGGCATAAGCCAGTATATCACCTTGTATCAGCTCTACTGAAATACTAAAAATATAATATAAACTAATGCTGAAAACTTAATATATCAACCTATATGAGTTACAGACTTATTTCTAAATAGTCTGATCATATTAGTAACATATTATCTAAAACTTTTTATAACTCTAAAGAGATATGTCTTATATTTTTCGGTATAGGAATAAAACCTATAAACTTCATATTATGTATAACTATATCAAGTTTTATAATCTTCACAGTAATTTGCTATTTTATAATTTGTGATTCTTGGATCATAAATAAACATGATATCATAATATAGAAAACAATTTTGAGCTTTTATTAAAGAGATAGTTCAAGAATCTAATCACACAAAAATTGAATCATGTATTCATAATATATTAAGTTATTAAATCTAATAGGTCTAAATTTCTAAATTCAACATAATTTCTAAAAACACTATAATTTATTTAATCATTAAATATGGTCTATACAGATAAATACCCAGTTTTGAGTAATACTGAATGGAAAGATAACTGTTAATTTCCAGTAATCCATAAAGGTAAAACTTCATCTAATTGGATGAAACAAATCTGGAATCAGTTGATGAATTATAGAAAAAATAATTATTTATCTGAAACTCATAAGTGATATATGGTTACTAGGAAGATGGTATATTTATGAGAAGGTGATCTTGGCAGTGCTTTTGAAGTAAATATTGCAATATGTCATAGTTATAATTAGCTTGTTTATGTTGATCAGAAATGTATTTATAGAGAATATTACAGATCTATAATCAAAAAGCATTGGTGTACAAATTATACTAGAAGTAGATATTGTGATATGGATTTCAAAGAATATATGGAGCTTAAAGACAAGCCCAAAGATAGCATTCCTTATTTCATAGCAAGAGCTGTTAATTGATATGAAATATAATTAAATAATATTATCAAAAAAGTTAAAAATATCTGAGAGATAACAAAAAAGACTCAAGCTGTAAAGATCATACAAATGAAATGGTTAGAATATATATATAGATCTGATGAACTTTACACTTCAGAACTCGCTCAATACTACAAATTATTATGAGCAGTTTGAGAAGAGATATGATAAGTTAACAATGTATAGCTTAATTTATTGTAACATATATCTATTTATTTGATTTAATCTATTTATTAATTATATAACTTATTCATATATATATATCTTTAAAATAAAATTATCTAAGATATTTCTAGAGAGCTAGTACTTTAGACTTTATTTATTGCTATTTCATGATGATTAATAGCTACTTTTTTTTCAACATATGTTTCATACTTTTCATGAAAGATTCTAATTTTTTCTGCAATATAAAATATAATATTAGTTTCTGGATATTATATATCATGAAATTCAATAAAGCATATTCAAATCTGATTTATCAATTATCACCCTCACTAGTATATGAAGCTTAGACTCATTTAATCTCCTTAAGCAAAATCCAATGATAGAGAAGAAAGCCAGCAAAATAAATCTATTGATTGAGTCATTTTTAAGACACAAAATAAATAGATATCAAAAAAAGTTAAAATATCCCCATCAAAATTCATTACCACTTGAAAATTTATCATATAATATAAATATAATTAACCAAGAATTCCAAATTCAAGATATATCCTAATTTATACATGTGATTACCAGGAGGAAATAAATTATCAGGTTAAAAAAGAGCTGGATATTTTATGTTGATAATTACTTGAATATAATAAAAAAACTTTTGACTTCTTTATATAAGAAATCACTAAATAGCATAAGGAGTAGATTGAATCTAATAAGAAATTGCGATCTGAGATTGAAGAAAAGAAGATAGAATTGCAACAAACAGAAAAATATCTTGAATATCTGAAATCTCGCTCTACTTATTAAAAAGATCAAGTGCCTGGTCCCAATCTCTGTGAATATAAAAAGGGTCTTCCTTTGCCCTAGTCTGGTCAATCATAATAAATTCTCAACTCTGTAAATTTTATCAAGTATATCAATAACATTACACCAATTTTTTGTATATCACTGGGTAATATTTACTAGCTCATTATAAGTCTTTGCTTCATTAAAAAGTACAATACAATCTGAATTTTTTCTTATTTTATCTGGACAATCAAAGAAGCTTTGTATTATATATATTGAACTGATATTAGAGTGACATCCTTCAATGAAATAAGGAATAATTTTATCTTGTATTTTTTAGGCTCATTGCATATATCTTCAAATATAGTAACTGTTTCTCTTTCAGGAGAGAAATTTTCTATTTTGATATTTTATCAGGTTTTATTGCTTGGAATGTAATATCTTCATAATATGGTTCTGGACTATTTGCAATTATTTGATAACAATCACAAAAATATTTATATTTTGACTTCTTGAGGTGATGTCTGATCATAACCAAATTATCATTCTTAATATAACATGTTCCATCTTTTTTTCCATTAAATATTTGATTTATCTTGTTTCCAAGTAAAAAATTAATAACTTCATTAGTTTTCTCTGATATAGTTCACTCTGAGATCATCATATTGAATGGCCATTGGGATGTTGAATTAAGATTATTAAATCTCTCTATATTTTTATATTCATCAATATTTAAAACCATCTTCTTAACTGGATCAAGCTTTTTAGTTTTCATATTGATTAAGTTAAATAATGCTAAATTATGTGTCTTGACATTAGCTTTACTATTATATCAAAAAATAATAATATTTATTGCTATATTCACATATTTATCAGATTTTTTTATTCTGAAGAATCACCAAAGATAATCACAGATTAGATATTTGTATCTAATTTACTATTCATATCTGAATACTAACTAATAATATCAAGAGTAGGATTTTTACTCTGTAAGATTGTAATTGCATTTGTGCTAATTTTCTCACAACTCTCAATGTCAAACTTCTGGAGATTACACAAATTTGCTAATGCAAACATAGATATATCACTAATATCATAATATTCAAGTTTGAGATTTTCAAGATTAGGATAAAGTTGCGCTATTTCACAAATAGACTTATCAGATATAAGTTCACACTTATTAAGATTAAAATATCTAAGATTTGGATTAGATTATATAATTTTTTTAATTGATATATCAGTAATTCCCTCATAATTTTCTAATACATATTTTTACATATTTGAATGTGCTAAAGCAATTGCATATACTCCATGATCAGTTATTTTTAGACAAGCAATTAAGTTTAGAATATGAAGTTTTGGGTATAATTTAGCAATCTTGATTATAGATACATCAGTAATTTTCTCATTATAATCCAATTTGAAGTAGTACAAATTAATGCATGAGTGAGTAACTTCTTTCAATGATATATCAGATATCTTAGAAGATCCAAGTTTTAGGTATTATAGATTTGGAGATAAATTTGCGATTTTTATATAAAGTTATATTCTTCATATTTTTGTATTTACCATATCATTTTACATTTTTTATAATGCATATTACATTAAGAGATTTCAGATAGCAAATTTGTATGATTTTACTAATAACTTTATTGAATAAACCATGACACTCTTGGATCTTTAGATAGTGTAAATTGGGACAGGATTTAGTGATCTCATATAGCATATCACTAGAGATCTTGTAACTAGATAGATAAAGTCAAAGTAAATATTAAGCATATGGTTTATGTTCTCCACACATTACTTTTTTAAATTTACTCTATGATATACATGATTTTTTTAGATCACTGATAAATTTAGCCTTTCTTCATAATATTGAAACAGAATATAAATACCATAACTAATTAACAAATAAGATCAGATATAGTGCTTTTTCTTTGATTAAATATGAGAAAATTTTAGTTAAAAGTTCAGATAAGACAAGTGTATGAAGTTTATTATATGTCATATTTATCTTATAAGTTTATTCTTTATATGATAAATAACCTTTCTCTCACAATTTGCTTTTTATATATGGCAATAAATTAGTATTATATGCTATTTTAATGAGATCTATACCTTTTCTTTTACATATATCCTACTTTTTTTGATCACATATCCTTTGTGATTCTAGATTATTTGATTTTTTATGAAATATTAAATTAAGACTGTAATGCTGAGATCCATTAAATTCAAATATCAATTTTATTTCTTTGTTATAATCATCCAGATGCAAGCCTTCTAAAAATTTATCTGAACATAATGAAAACTTCTTACCTAACAAATTCTTGAAAATATATCTTACAGAGTGCTCCCCTTTAAAATATAAATAAACTAGACACCATTCAAATTTCCACATCAAGATCTTATAAGATGCTTCCCACTAATGGAGTCTATTTTTGCATGATCAGAGATATATATTTACATTATTTATCCATTCAGTTTTCATAATACAAGTTCTATTATGCTTCTTAGCATATTGCTGTACTTTGTCAAATTTGTTATTAGTAATACGAATAAAGTGAACTAATCTAGTGCATTAATTTTCTGATAATATACTTTGAGAAGAAAGTTGAAGTATACTAATATCTACATATAAGAGCTCTTCTCTCACAAATGCTCTAGAAGAGGCATGTTCATTATTACTTCCAAGATAATATAAAACTGGCTCATTTTTCAGTACTATGATTTTTATGATAGGATGAATAGAAGGGCTAAATACTAGATCAGTCACATGACATGTCATTTTAAAGTCTCTCTCTCATTCTACATTAGTGAGAAGATAGTAAACCATATCACCTTTCTTCAATTTTTCTTTATTCTTTCTAATAGCTTACTTTCGTGATACTGATAGTTTAGATTTGATCTTTTCTAACTTGATTACTTTTATTGGTACTAACCTTCACTTCAAGAATTCAGAAGCTCTAATAAAACATATAGAATAATTATTAAGATGATTTATTACTTTGGATAAATTCTTAATCTAGGCTCTTATTAATTTAGGATTTGAGAATATATTTTCAATGACATATTAAATCTTATAAAGAATCTCTACTAAAGTTTTATTGAATCTCTCTATAATTACTATATCATGATAGGAATATAGACTAATAACTCAGATTATAACATTATGTGCTTCCATTAGCTGGCTCGTCTTACTTATCCATTCCCTGCTATTATCACATTGTAAAAGTATC